TCCCATGTGTAACTGAGTCCGAGACCCCTGCTTTAGAGTCTAAAAGACATGTTTGCAAATTGTGTTGGCGTGAAACAGCTTTCCTTTATTTCATTTAGATTGCAGGCTGGTAAAAATTAGTTTAGGTTGGTTGGGGTTGGGCGAAATAAGTGTGTCCTGGGACTCAGGGGGTTAATCGTCTAATTAATTGTTATCGGCTAAATGCCACAATTAATCGTGATTAATTTTTTTGCCAATATTGCCCAACCCTAATTGGTGTATTAGAATTTATGGTGATATTATAAAGGTAAAWTTTTCTGAGCTTAGTGTAAAATCACTGGCCTCTTTTTGTCTCACTAGAACAAAATTGAAACATAAAACAAATCCAGTCCATCTACTTTCTCATATTACTTGTTGAAGCTGTCAGTTTGCTGTCACACTCATGGTGATACAAGATTGTATTTAATCCAGCTGTCACTGCCCAGGCTTTGGATTCTAGATCTTAGATGGACAAGATTCCTCTAAGGGGGGCTCTGGCTGATCTAACCATTTGTGGTACTGGTATCTGAACAGAAGTACACGGTTTTTATGTGCTATTGTCAGAGATGTATAGTAACTTAAGTACATTTACTTTGTCACAGTACTTAAGTAATTTTTTTGAGGATTCATAATTTTACCAAGTTTTTTATCTTTTTTTATTTTGTCACATTCAAAACATATAAATACTTTTACTTCTGTACTTTAAAATTAAACACGTTGTAAATTTAAATATGACCAGAAKTCATGAAAGTTGCACTCTAAAAAAATGAAGTGTTGAATTTACCTAAGTTATGTCAGCTGGTTCCACTAAAGCAATTTACACATTTTCTTTAAAATGAAATGTGCAAAAAGCTAATTTACTCAACTCAGTTTAGTGAAACTAGCTTGGTTAAGTAAATTCAAAACTTAATTTCTTAGAATGTGTAAAAGCACTTTTAATCTACTTTTACTTTCCCGTTTATTGAGCAGTTTTAAGACTTTGCTTTAGTACTTTTCTTATCAGTGAAATTACTTTTTACCAAAGTCTTTTTCTGTTGAGGTATTTTTACATTTACGTTATTTATTTGAAGTACTTTATTTATATACCTCTTGCTATTATCCAGAGTAATATTGAATTGTAGCAATCAGGAATAGTTTGAATCTTTTTTTGTTTTTTTATTTATCCTTTTGGGGGTTTAGTTCTTTTCCACAATCCATTTTCACTCCCAATTTGTCACATATTGACGCTTGGTCAGGTACCGTCTGCGTCCAGCTTTAGACACGTCGGGTACCCCCCTCACGTCAGTTATTAACGAGTTGAGACTGAGGAGGAGGAGCGTGTTGTCTTATTTTTGAAAAGAGTAGGAAATACACGACAACTAACCGTCCCAGACCCTAAATTTAACTATTAGCCATATACATCCTATCACTGACCTCAGTACCTAAAATTAACCATTAACCCTGATCCCTCGTATTAACCATTTTGAAAGTATGGAGAATGTGCAACAACTAACTGTCCCAGACCCTAAATTTAACTTCTGTTAGCCATATAAATCCTATCCCTGACGTCAGTACCTAAAATTAACTATTAATCCTATTAACCACAGACCCCCAACCCAAAGACCCCTATGTAGCACAACCCAGAAAAGCCGAAGGCGTGAATAACTAACGTGGGGGGTTACCTGATGTCACAAAACTGAACGCAGACGGTACCTGACCAAGCATCCATATGGTGACGAGTCGGGAGTCGGGAGTGAGAACGTGTTGTTTTCCAAGTTGTAGCTCCATCTTCTCATTGTGATTTTTCTTTGTGCGTGTTCTCTCTGTGACTGCATGAGTTTTCTCTGAGTGATTAGGCTTTCTGCTGCAGTACAAAGACAGAAATGTTTTTGCTAACTGGTGGTTATATATCTACTCTTGCCGTGAGTGTCAGTGTGAACGTTTGTCTCTCTCTCACCATGCTGGACTGAAGTGCCCAGGGAATTGCCTTTCACCCCCACATCAGCTGGGGCCTGGCTCCAGCCTCACTATACCTTCTAGTTGATAATGTGGGTTGTCAAGTTTTGTTTGGCTTTTCTTCTATTCGTGCTCTTTGACAGTTTTGCATTCATAAAGTATTTATCAGAATAACTTTAAAATTGGAAAGTAAGTGGGGGAAAAGCCTCTGGTTGAAGATTATATGCCATTTTAGCTTGCGGACTTTGGGAGCAAGTAAACAAGCTTGGAAGGTGACTGAAAATCTTGTTTCTGCTGTCGTCAGTGGTATTCATTGCTAACATATGTCTCTCTTTGCAGGTGGTAGTGGTCCGTCAGAAGTCTTCAGAATGTCCCTTAGGGGCTTGCGTCTAGCACACAGTGGGGTTTTGGAGCTTTGTTTTTTTCTTTTTTTACTGAAAACAACTGCCTGCCAGTACCAACAGTGAACAAATGAATGAAGTCGTAAAAACAAGAAATATTCGAATGCTCTTTAGACCTCGGGGAACAAAGCTCTTCATCTTCATAATCTTCTTTCAGATTTTCTTTCATGTTCTACGAGATTTTATTTGATTGTTGATGTAAAAATACAAATTAAAGCAGTTTTAAATTAAACTTGAATGAAGCAATAAATAACTATAGTGTAATTTGATCTTGTGCCACAGTGCTTGTGATGAATATTCTGCAAGCACTAGGGCAATCACATTTTCTCTAACATATTTGATTTTTAATTTTTTTTCTTCAGAAATTAGGTGAAGTTTTCTGATTCGTTCAGTGAAGCACAATAGCCAACCTCATCTCATGCAAATGAGGTCCTCTAGGTTCCCACTGAGCTCTAATGACAACAGTTGCAATCTTATTCACTTCATCATTCCAACCTTAACTGATATTTGTGTTCCATATTCAGTATTTTATTACTTATCACCATGTGTGTGTGTTTTTTTTCTTTTCATATCAGCTCCTCTGAGCTGATGAAGTGGCTGAGTTTTTTTCTTGCAGCGATGCTTCCTTGCTTTGTTGTTTTTATCTGGAGCCCACGTATGAATAAGGCCTGAGGGAGAAAGACAATGCTGTCTGCTTTAACTCATCTCGCTGACCGACACTGAGGTATCAGGCACCGGCAGAGGAGAGAGAATATTTCATCTGACACTGTCACTCTCTGTAGAAACCTCAGGGAGTCTGAGACTGCTGTGACACACTTGGTGGTCAGCAGCACCGCATACGATTATGACAGCTCCTGCTAGACATGCTGAAGCCACAAGTTTGTGGTATTAAAGTGGAACTAATTCTACACAATCTGTTCGGATGCTCTATATAAAGTTTTAGGCTGGAAATGCAATCATGTCCAAAAGATGTTTATTGAGCCTAAGTGTTGTTTACTCTGAAAACTATTTCATTTTTCATCTTCCTGTACATTTGGAGAAACTCCTTGGCTCGCAGTTTAAATTCACAAGGGATAGTGGTTGAAATATTGCCCTTTGAAATGGGATAACCCTTCAAAAAGCCACTATATCATTAGTTGCTGATTTTTGTTGAAGCAAATGCAATGTGATTTTGAAGTTACAACTGTTTTATTATTATTATTATTATTATTATTATTATTATTATTATTCAGTGTAGACAAGCAACGTCTCTTTTCCTGCTTCTTCTAAATGATTTAGTTCCTCATCTCAGAATCGAGGCTTTGCTCAGTCACTCTAGGAAGGGAACTGATTTCACTTTTTTGAGATTTCATTATTTTGGTCATTACCTAAATTGTATTACCAAGCATATTTTTTCTCTCTTAGATGAGAACAATAAGTAAAAAATAATGGCACATATTTGTTATTTTGGTTACTCTTTTCCCCACTAATGCAAGGGTGGACAATGGTAACACAATCTTCAATATACTCATTCTGTACTGATATGCACTCGTGAAAGCTAATACTACATAAACACGACACAAAATTAACAGTTGGATTTTTACGTTGTGTATAAATTTTAGACATAATTAAAGTTTCATTTCTGCATTATTGATAAACTTTCTCAAACCTTGCACTTCTGCCAGAATCTGCTGAGCCACTTTGCAGTTAAGTTGTCTGGGGAATTATTGTACTTGGACACGTGTCAGAAGATTACAACAATGAGCTGCAGATGTTAGCATTAGCACAATCTGTCAGCTTTATAGCAGCTGGCGGCTGGCCGATATGCATGTTGGTCCATTTCAACAGCTTCTGTACACTATTTTAAACATACCGAGCATCACGTTACTAGTGCAGCAGGTAGTGCATGTAAACCTAAGGTTGAAATTTTAAACAATAACTACAACATGACTGACTTAATCTAAAATAAACCTGTAAATAGTACCTTTCAAACATTACGACGGAGTATTAGGGCCACACAACCAGATTATTTTTGTTTTTTTATTAAGAGAATAAAGTCAAAATATTACAACATTAAAGATGTAACATTACGAGAATAAAGTTGTATGAGAATAAAGTCATAATGTTACAAGATAAAAGCCATAATGTTACAAGATAAAAGTCATAATGTTATGAGATAAAAGTTGTAATGTTACGAGANTAATGTTACAAGATAAAAGTCATAATGTTATGAGATAAAAGTTGTAATGTTACGAGATAAAAGTCGTAATGTTACGAGATAAAAGTCATAATGTCACGAGATAAAAGTCGTAATGCTACGAGAAACTTTGGATGGAAATTTGGATATCATCGCGAACAACGTCATAACACAGAAACATGCATGCATGGCTCTCCATAGCAGGTGTTAGGAAAATGATGAGGAAATGCGTAAAACATCAGGAATGGAAAATGAACGTCATGTAAGATAATGACATTTTTCTCGTAATATTACGACTTTAATCTTGTAATATTATGATTTTATTCTCGTAAATAAAAAATAAATAAATAAATCTCATTTTGTGGCCCAAATACTCTGTCGTAAAACATAGCCATTGTAAATTTTGGAAAAATGTTTTTCTTTGTAAGTTTGCAAGTAATATTTATATTTACATGTTTTTTTTCCCCCAGACTGAACTAATTCTGTGGACTTGGATTATATGGAACAAACGGACACACAATAAACCACTTTCTGTTTGCATCACCCACAAAACTGGCAAAGTTTGCCCTAATTTAAGATTGATGAGGCGTTAATCTCAGAGAGAAAGAAGATGTTGGCATTGTTGTTTCACATAATTGCCATTGTTGTGGCTGTCTCCGTTACGCAGTGCCAAACAGTTTGCAACAGAGACGCTTCATTTGAATGGCACCCTAAAAAGCACACAATCCAAATGAATTGGACTCTAATAGGAAACATCTGTAGGAGCAGGTTTGAGTGCTGGGACTCTCTGGGGGGAGACAAATCGAGTGAGCAGCTTTTTAACTTCCCACAGATATGCCCTCTTCAGCTGCAACATGGAGACAAACTGCTGATGTCTGCTGATGAAACACTCGGGTCATACGGCATCAGAATCCTCAACGTGTCAAAAGACACCTTTGAAAGTTGCTCTACAAACGGAGGGTTTCAAAAACAGTTTCTGTTCCCCCACATAATAAATAAAAGCGAGCAAGTTGAGGCCAAGTGGATTGTTCCAGGTCATCATTATTTTATTGCGCTTCACGGAGATGACACACAGTTGTGTAAGTTTGGTTTGAGGCTTAATGTCTCGGTCAAAGCACACCTTTGCCAGGCCTCACCTCTTCTCCGACTCTGTTCGGGGAATGGAGTTTGTCGGACAGATTTCTGGAGAAGTGCGTACCACTGCAGATGCCGCCACGGCTACACTGGGAGGTTTTGTGAAAAATTCAATGCCTGTATGGACAACCCTTGTGTAAACAAAGGAATCTGCTTGGGCAATGGATCCACCGATCCAAACAACAGAACCTACAAATGCCTGTGCCCCCCACATTTTACTGGTAAGAACACTTTTCCCCCTTTTCCACTAGTGCCACTTAGTGTAGTGTCGGTACAGTTTGGTACGGTTCCAAGTCATTTCCATTTGGCCAGATTCATGGAACCAGCCCTTTTTCTAGTACCTACTTTGTTGTGGTTCCAAGCAGTCCCAATCGGCACCAAAATGCGACATCAGAACACTGTTGGTCACTGTTTGGCTAAGGGGTGGAGTCACTGGTTGCGTCTGTGCTGCCTTTTCAACAACAACTCAAGGAGGTATTTTTTTCAGTTGTAGCAGCAACATTAGTCGTGTTTCTATCCAACTTTCATTCGAATTTTTAGCTAATTTTTTTACATTTCAGAACTTCTTCGGCAAATGTGTTTCCATCTCAAAACACTTCCAGTGGAACTGGACTGGAACGTCAATGGACCGAACTGACCCGTTCCGACACTGACCGTACCAACACTACACTATGTGGCACTAGTGGAAAAGGGGCATTTTTTGGTCACTCTTCAATTGTGTGTGTTTGTGGGGGGGTTGTGAACTATGCGCAACTAATTTTCTGAAAATATAAAGCTTATCTTTTTAATGTTTAGTTTTAATATCTAACGGTGTGCTGCGTGCTTTTTAGGGGTTAACTGCTCTGAAGTTGTTGGGAAAGAGAACTGCGACAGAATTTGTGAAAATGGGACGTGTGTTGAAATCTCGCCCACCTCCTTCAAATGCATCTGTGACACTGGAAGTTCTGGTAAGCAGCTTTTTCTCAGCTTTGAATTTGGTGTAATATAGATGGATTGTCTGTCATGCTGGCAATAAAATAAAAATAATTAAATAAAAATTGGTGAGCGGTAAACCTGATGCCATTTGATCTTATAGCTGTCATCTTAATAAATGTGGCAGCCACATCAAATCATTCGCCACATGTTCACTAGGCTGCCGTAAAGGGGCAAGGCTAAACCTTTAGCTAACTGAGCGTATCGGAGTTAATGCAAAGGTTTACAGCAATCAATTTAGATAGAATTCATGATGTATTGTGTCTCCTGAYCAAATTAAAATCTAAATCTTGAATATAAGTGGGTGGCGGTGRGGGGGGTAAAATTAACCAGCATTTCTATTTAATGCTTAACAGTGTAATGCGGGCTAATATGAGTTTATCAAAATACATAATGGTGTCCAAGATCAAATGTCTGTTTTACTTTAAATTAAATTCTGCATAAATCACTGTGACACTCATAATTTGGTTGTTCATCTAGCATTACTACAGTAATTCAGGTCTAATGTATGCTAATAACCCCTCCCTGTAACATTTATAATGGCTAAACTGTTTCTTTTTGTCATTTAGAAGCACCACTGAATGCTTATGTGTGAAAATTGGATGYCASTCGTGATTTGCAGAACTTGTATGGGGACAATTACTGTTTCACTCATTATTCAGGGTTATCTACTATAGAATAGTACAGTTAAGTTAATGGATATCACAGTCAAATGGGCTGTAAGACCTGGATACTCCTCAGGCTGCCCTGAATACCACTGCCTGCAGTAAAAGCGAGCATGCAATGAACTTTCTGGAGTAAGCTCTCCAGGTGGCTCTTTTTACATTGATTCATTGTTTTGTTTGCAGCACACTTTGCCTTGGCAGCATTTTTGAAGTGTCATAGTTTTGCCTTTTGAGTCCAGCCTAGGCTTTCAGCTTATTATCTTAGAGATGTGATTTCAGGGTTGCTTATAGTACTTTCCAGCGTTCTTTTTGTACAAGAGCCCATTAGGGCCATACAGACAAGGAAGGTTTTTCTCCCCCCCACCCCCCTTCTCAGCCAAGGCTAAAGCTGAAACAAAGTTATGTGCTGTGTGTCAGTCGTAATTCTGTTTGTCGAATTGGCTCGGATGGTAGGTAGAGCATCGGTGGAGGATGTGCCCATTACATTCAGGTTTTTTTATGGATTGCTTTGTTGAAAAAGACAAAAAAATAATAAGAGGATAGGAAATATTTTGATCAAGGTTTCTCGAATTACTTTTAATTGTAAGTTTGATGAATAAATATATACGGTAGAAACTGATTGATAGTATTCATCCAGACAAGAAAATTTCTGAAATTTAATGTCACCGTTCTGCTTTTGGTCATTTTAAATGTTGAAAATGATACTCAGATAATGAAATGACTCTCCCCACATTGACAAAATAAAGACATGTTACTTTATGGAAATTTATGTTTTTTCCTGCCTAATAATAGTCAGCTGAAACAGCTGGAGCATCTGTGTATCATGATATAAAGTTAGAAAACATCATTTTCCTCAAATTGCTTAATTCAAGTTCTGTAAAATTCAAAACTTAGAAATTGGAAACTGGAGACAGTTGGAAATTATGTATTTTATTTTTATTTTTTTCATTCTTAAGCTTTAACTAGCACCACAACAAAAAAAGCATTTTATTAATTACTAATAAACATTTTACCATGTGTTAAATGATGACAGGAAGGTAAAAATAAAGTGTGGGAG